GGTTGTTACCAACATCTGGTGAAAATTTCATGTCATTAGCACCTCTAGTAATATATTTACTGAGAAAAATGGTGACGTGTTCAATACTTATTTTACCTGCTGTAAATATTTGGTCTGAATCCTAATTTTATGTAATTTTTATGAGGAATTGTTCATTTCATTGTGAAGAGGAAATCTCAAATAGTATTTGAATATTGACGTTTTCCAGCTGGAAAGAAACAAAAACGTATAGCTCACAGGGAAAAATCTAAAAATAAAAAGGCGTTTTTCCTCAAAATCAAGTTTTTTGTTGCTGCTGTTCAAAAAAGTGCTTCAATTTTTTTTTATTTCACACAGCTCATTCAAATGAAGCATTGATAAGGTATTTATTTGTTATTTTGACAAAATGTAAATTTTGTCTTTTAATCAAAAAGTTATATTTGCCTATTTCTCCATATACCACTTTTAGACTTAATCCTCGTTTCAGTGGGTCACATATTTGATTTTAAACATTATTCATTTAGACTTGTAGTCAGTACTTGGGTGTTTCATCAGTTCATAGACATTTGCTTCACCTTGTAATCATTTTTTGCCCTCTAACTTCACCACAAAGCCTCCAYGTCTTAGTCATCACAAATGATCCAAGTATTCTCCTAGTATCATTGCCCTGCCTTGTCCGTAGGGCACTGATATTGTTTGCATATGCMGCGCTCATACCAGAGTAGCTGAAGTGTGTAAATTCTCACTTCCATTATTCATGAACACGCCACTTTAATAGAATTACCTTGTGTAATCATCTAACATCCCCCACCCTCCCTGTTTTTAAATACTTCTCAGTCTGACCTGAAATGTGTCCAGGATGCCAAAGGAGGCTCATTTTACAGAGACCACTGTCCTGTTTTAGGTAAGTAAGCCAGTGATGTGTGTCTATCGTCACTATTGCACCAATTCTCTCACCTCTTGTTCTGGCGCAGTGAATTCAAGGGCATTAGGGGAATTTTTGCTTTCAGTTACACGTTTTCTACCACTAGATGTCAGCACCATATAATCACTTGGTCACCAAAATGTGAGACCTACTCAGGTTTAGTATTCTGGGGATTTCAGAAAAAAAATCATTCATTTCATGATTATTATGGATAGTATGAGGTTTAATGTTTTCTCTGTATGCAGTAGTAATGCAGTACATCAAATGTCACTCTGCCGTTCTGTTTAAGGTCACAAACTCTACAGTTCTCTGTGCAAACTGCTTTACGACGCAGCTCTTTTATCGATAAATCTTAAGTTACCTTTATCTCCCAGGTGAGCAGAATGGCAACAGAAATCCTGGTGGTCTTCAAATAGGCGACCTGGTCAACATTGATCTGGATCTTGAGATTGTTCAGTCCCTTCAGCACGGCCATGGGGGGTGGACTGACGGCATGTTCGAGACCCTCACCACCACAGGCACAGTGTGTGGCATCGATGAGGACCATGAYATTGTGGTTCAGTACCCCAGTGGGAACAGGTAAGCACAGGCGGACTTAGATCTGCTTGAATCTGCTGACTCCAGCTAATACATGTGCATCATGCTGTAACACCATACATGCATGCATGCATTGACCTTTATGGATCCACCTTCACTTAAAATTGTTCTCTGGAATTAACCTGAAGATTAAACTAAAATTCATGAAGTTTAAGAGATGATACTGTGAAATAATTTGTAATGACATTTATATTTAAAGTGGATAATTATAAAATAAAGATTTTATAGTTGTTAACAGGAGTCTGAAAATTTAAATTACTAATGTACATAAAAAATATACATATAGTTGTATGGTCTGAATGGATTACAATTAGTGTCACTTCTCATAACCCTGTTTTATTATAATAAACTCCGTCTCCCTTTTGATCTGTGAGTGACCGTGTCTTTGCTGCAAATACTGTCTCCACAGATGGACGTTCAACCCAGCAGTGCTGACAAAGGCTAATGTAGTGCGCAGCGGTGAAGTTGCAGCCGGTGCAGAAGGGGGAAGTTCCCAGTTTCACGTGGGAGACTTGGTTCAAATCTGCTACGACATCGACCGCATCAAACTGCTGCAACGAGGCCACGGAGAGTGGGCTGAAGCAATGCTGCCCGTAAGCTTCAGAAATGTTCAYGCAGAAGGACAAATCCTGTTAGATTTTGTGCAAGTGACAAAATTATAGGAGTTTTTTACGACTAAATAACGCGAGGTGACATAATCTCTCTCGTAAATTTATTTTTATTAATATTTTTYACAGCTCAGTTTGACTGTTTTTATAATATGAGGTTTATTCACTGTTTGCCCTGATTTGCCACATGTTTTGTAAAACCCATCTTCGTAAGTATGCCACTTGTCCTTTTCAAACGGTCTCCTCTCAGGAGCTACTGAGCCGTAAAACCCCGAGATGGGTTGTAGCTTTGATCACTAACCACGGCTGTTTGTCGCCCGCTGCTTCTCCTTTTGCAGCAGTCCCGGTTATTGATGACATCCTTGAGGACAACCCGACTCGGCTCAATAGAATCAGAGTGCAGCTCTCCCATATAGCCAGGATCGGGATGGTATAATTCATAATTGGACGATTATACCCCATCCTCGGTGTACTGCTTGTATAGATGAGGAATAGCGTATCACAAAGATGCTTGTCCTTTTATTTTCATCGTCTTCTTGTGTCCATATAATGATGAGAACGCAGTTTGATGTTTAAATATGTCATTATTTTTTTCTGCTGTGTTGTCTACTAACAGACTCGTGTTACACACAGCTTTCATAAATAGCCATAAGTCGACAACCTTCAAATACTAATGAGTTTGTCACAACATTTCTAAACAGACCCTGGGCAAGGTAGGCCGCGTGCAGCAGATCTACTCTGACAGTGACCTGAAGGTTGAGGTGTGTGGGACTTCCTGGACGTACAACCCTGCTGCTGTCACAAAGATAGCTCCGTCTGGCTCTGCTGTCAGCAATGCCTCTGGAGGTACTTGTGAACAAGCTTCACGGACGCTCTGAGAGTATCATATTAGCTTTTTGTCCTCACTGCTCCCCCCCTTTTTTTTGGCACCTACATAAAATCAATCTCTGTTTCCTCATGTTTTCCCAGAGCGTTTGTCTCAGTTATTGAAGAAGCTTTTTGAGACACAAGAGTCCGGGGACATCAACGAGGAGCTGGTCAAAGCCGCAGCCAACGGAGACCTAGCCAAAGTGGAGGACATTCTTAAGAGGCCTGACGTGGATGTGAGTGCTGCAGCCTGTTTTATTTCTTTTTTGTTTAAGCATCTAATGGATTTTTAATGCACTTTTTGCTGAAGACCAAATCACGTTATCATTAAACATGCCTATTAGATTGTGATTATATTTATGATTGGGGCTGAAACACTGCTGGCTGCTCTCTGCTTTCTCAGTCTATCTGAAAGGTTGACTTTCTCCCAGGATAGGGCGATGAGATCCTCCCACCCATGCTTCTCTCTCTTAATCTGAAAAACATTAAGGCTGGCCCAGAGGAGGCACCAATGAGCTCTGGTGTGCAATGCAGCACAGACCCTGATCCACTCTCAGTTACACATGGGAGAACTACAAATCCCATATAGTTGCAGATAATGTTTTGATGCAGGCCATAGGCCATGGAAAACACTTCTTTGCCACTAGAAAGAAACTCTGTGCCTCTTAGAGATTATTAAAAATCCTTACGTAAAGTCTGCAACACTGTCTTCAGTCAGAGCAGGAAAGTGAATGAGCGTGTGTGTCATTGGTGAATGCTGGCCAGATGCCCTGTTGGCTTTCAGTGGAATTATTTGCTTAAAGCTGAGCACACTGAGTCTGGCCAAGTGATCCGGCTGCCAGGACAAGAGATGTCTCGAGACTCCCAAAGGAGTCCACATTAATATTGATGCTTTCAGTTTTTGCAGTGCTGCAGTTGGTGATGAAAGATGCACACTCAGTTGTGCAGGTCCAGCACATGCAAACACACTTATAAACCTCTCCATCTGCATCCTACCTCTTATAGATCTACATCAAACCTTCGTATTAAACGCACTCCTGTTTTCGTGGTTCTCGATGTGATTTCAGGTAAACGGTCAATGTGCTGGACACACTGCTATGCAGGCAGCCAGTCAGAACGGTCACGTGGATGTTTTAAAGCTGCTGCTTAAACACAGCGTGGACCTAGAGGCTGAGGTTAGTAGAATATATAATAAAAAAATAAAATAAAAAAAAATCATTGACCCTGTCTGGGCAAACAAATGCAGCCTAAATCTTTGAATCAAAGCTGATGTGCATTTTTCTTTAGGACAAAGATGGAGACCGTGCAGTGCACCATGCAGCKTTTGGTGATGAAGGTTCTGTCATTGAGGTGCTGCATAGGGGTGGTGCTGACCTGAATGCCAGAAACAAGCGAAGGCAAACTCCATTGCACATAGCAGTCAACAAGGGCCATCTACAGGTGGTTAAAACCTTGCTGGACTTTGGCTGCCACCCCAGTCTTCAGGTATTTATCTCTCTTGCTCTTGTTGTTGTTTTTTGCAAGGTTTGGCATCATTTTCTAACAGCGCAGCAGCGATTAAAAAACATGGTTCACACATTGGTAAATAACATGAGATTTCCTTTCAGGATTCAGAGGGAGACACACCTCTGCACGATGCTATTAGCAAGAAGAGAGATGACATGTTGTCAGTGCTGCTGGAGGCCGGTGCAGACGTCACGATCACAAACAACAACGGCTTCAACGCCTTGCATCATGCTGCCCTGCGAGGAAACCCCAGGTATGTGACACTGCGCCGCTTCTAATAGCTGTCACACATTTAGTTATTCTGAGTAATCAGGTCATGTTTAAGTCGACTCTCAGGAGGCTGTAATGCTACCAGAATGGTCATAATAAAGCCCGGTTTTGTAAAAAAAATCTTAAAATGAATAAAAACATTTTCTTATTCTCGATGATTTCATAACTGGTGGTTATGAAGGAAAATTAATCCTACGCTGTTTTGGTTCTAACTTGAGGGTATTTTATTATATTTAACCATGATAATTTATTAATGTATCATTCAATGAACATGATTTGTGGCACAAACATTAAAATCACATCCYCGCAATAAAGGAATCAAGCTTTGTACAAACCTATAAGGGACATTTCTAACCAACAGAGTTGATGCTGTGAGAGGAGCTGAAGGCTTGGCAGATTTGCTAATTTGTTATTTAATCATCCTCTTTTGGATTGAAAGATGTGGGCTTACCACAAATGATGTTTAAACTAGGAGATACTCTAGCCTTAGTTTCTGATGTAAGCAGATTTTGATAATTTGGCTGCTGACCTTGTTGAGCCTGTGCTGTTTGCTGAAAAGGTCAGTTTTGGGTCCTGTTTTTTTCAGACATGTTATGTAATTAACCAAAAACTTCAGGCAGAAATTTCCTCTACAAATTGCACTGAAGTTTTAAAAGTTGCTCCATAGTTTGCTTCCTTGCTGAAGACGTTTTGTTTGTTACCTCATTTGATTTAATTTAAGTTGTTTTTTTAAGACGGTCTCTATCTATTCAACAGATGGTAGTGTCTTTTAAGCTGACATTAGAGTTGTTAATAGCYTTTAAAGTTAATTTGTTGTTTCCTTTTACTGTTGTCATACGGCTTGAGATTGCTGGTCTGCACAACAGCGTTTTGTCTTGTTCCGGAGCCAGTTGTTTCTGGTCAGTGGGTTTTTGTTCCACTCTGTTTTTAACTTGTGACACAAACAGGAACATGTAAAGATTGCCAAAAGAGGAAACTGTCGGATTGACTACTCAAGGTAAAGTCACACACTTGATAAGTTAAAAGAGTTAAAGTATTTTAAAGACATCTGTATTTAGTAGAAAAGGTTACAGCTGACAATGTTAGGGGTGTCTCAATACAACTTTTCACTTTCGATACAATACTGATGTTGCAGCTTTGAGTATTGGCTGACAATGAGATTCACCTGATATGATATCAGTACGAATCATACACTTCACCTATTTTGAAAATCTCCAAGTCAAACAGTGAACAATAGTAGGTTTGAGAAAAACAGACCCATTTATTATTAACCAATGGAAACATAAGAATGTTATACAGTACTTTTAAAGTGTGAAATTACAATTGAAAGCCACTGCAGTTATTTATTTATTTTTTTTACTTTCACTGCCATCCTGGTGCTGCTATATGGTGGCAACAACTGAAGGCGGGGACAAAACAAAATCCCACAATATTTTCCAATGTCCAACTGTTCAAAGTTGAGTCCACAGCTCCAATTTTACTGACTTTGCCCAAAACAATGTGATCATTGCTCTTAGTCTTCACTTAAACAAGAGTGTAAACAAACTAAAATCACTCTAATAACAAGAGCAATGAACAAATAGTAATAATTAGTCATTTATTTAAATCGATGGCTACCATTCTTACTGCTGCATCTCCGCTTTCTGCAGTCCGAGCATGATGTGGAGATTAGCCTCTTGCTCTCAACACTCGCGCAGGGAGCACAGAGGAACTTAGCTGTTGTTGCTGCCAGGGTGGGGAGTTGAGCTTGGTTGTYTTTCCAATATAAAACTTCCACGGTTCTGTGCTACCACCAAAAACTTGTGCATGACACATTTTGCACTTAGCTGCAACGTTGTTTTTGGACTTTAATGAAGAGTGCTGCCGACATCACTCCTACACCTTGCTACTTTGTTAGCACAGAGTATTGTGATCGCATGCATGCTGGATCCAAGTGCTACTGGATAGAAATGCTGCAGGGGTCTACTAGAATGGACAGCTTGTATCTGAGTTTGTGTATCGGAGATTATCGATGCAGGCCGATATGATCCGATATCAGTATCAGATCAGGACACCCCAAGTCAATGTGTTTTTTGCTGTAGGTGTTTATTTGTTTGGGCATCTGCTTGTTTATCACAGACTAAAAGTCAATCTACTATTTCTGGACCCCACCCCACCCCCCTCCCCCTTTAACATAAGGACAAGTGGAATTAAGGTCAGGGGACAGTGGGTCACCTGTCACAAGCCAGGACAGATCCAACCCTCCACATCTGGTACACTGCAGAATAACTCATCCAGAGCTTGTATAGCTTTGGAAGAGGTTTCAACTGCATCCATCAGTTTGTTAAAACCACTTTAGACATTAATAATTACTATGTTAACACAAAGAACTTGTCAAAGCTGAAATGCGTTAATTTATTATCCACGCTAATGTTGAAGTTTCAGATACAAATAGCAATCTGATCCCTTGAAATAAATGATTCCAGATTTTGAGATCTGAGTCTATGAATAAATATCTGTCATCAGACGAGGTTAATTTAACGGTTTAAATTTATATAAAAATTTATATTATAAAATTAGAATACTCACTTAAGATATTTTGATCTAAAAGAAAATAAGTAAATTGCAATTCTTCTGCAGTGCTGATAATTGCACAGCTTTGGAACAAAATGAACCAAACAAGTAAACATACTTAAGGAATGTTGCCGAATAGCAGAATTGCGGGGGAGAAGTCATTTGCATTGTAGATATTTGAAAGCAAAGGGTGCATAATTTGTATGTGTAAACTAGATTTTAGAATATACAGTAGAAAGCAGGCATACTGTAGGATTCATTGATTTACAGGCAAAAAGTGCTGGAGTACAGCATTTTCTGTATCGGGGCCTCGTGTGTGTGTGTGTGTGTGTGTGTGTGTGTGTGTGTGTGTGTGTGTGTG